CGGGGGGCACAGTGATGCAGCTGATGCAGCCTTTGTAGAGGTGGTTGCGAGTAACTCCGGACTCAGGCGTCGTGCACTCACAACGCAAGAAGCTCCCGCCCAGCTGCTCAATAATTTCACGGCGGGTTTAACAGTCGCAGGTCAGGGATGCCTCCCGAAACACGAATCTATAAAGAGGAGAATCGAAGGGCTGCGAGGCCGAAATTCTCAAGCGCCAGCGTGTCCAAATGACCGAGCCTCAATAGTCTTGCCCGAGGCCTACACTACGTACGAATGCGAGTCAGGGAGCTAAGAACAATTCCTCCTAGGCGATTCGGGCATCGGAGGACCCCATCTTGGTTTTCAGCCGAGAAACAGCGTCTAGCTGGGTTGGCTATGTGCAGAGACTCTTCGAGGACGGGACTTTCAGTTTAGCCCCGGATCAATTCGCGCAGGTTTTCGTCATTTTGGCTGACCGTGGAGGGTATGCAATTCCGCTCTGCTACGCCCTCCTTCCAAACAAATCGGAAAACTCGTACCGCCGCATGATCGATCTCGTCATGGGAGCCTTCCCGTCGCTGAACCCAGCTTCGATCGCCATGGATTTCGAGATGGCTGTCATCAACGCTTTCATCGCGGCTTTCCCGAATGCCGAAATTCACGGTTGCTTATTCCTATTTGTTCAAAAGTGTGGTTTTCGAGGTCTTTTGGTAGATGATCAGCTGGTATTTTCCTCGAGAGTGACTGAATATCCACTACACAGGTCTTGTATAACTGTGACATCTTGGAGGCGATGGCGCTTTCGCTCCAATGCTACGTTCACTCTGATCGACTGGATTTAGCCACAAATGAAATGAAGCGGTGAGAGTCTCTAGAATCTTTCGCTTTTATGCTGAAAATACTTGTTTCCGTGGCTGTCATCGCTGAGCTTCGCGGAGAGAATGAGAGCTCACTTCGTACATCCTGATCCAATTTTATCTCTACTACAGAATGGTGGCGAAGGACGAAGATGCATCACTGACCCAGTTGTGCTCGGGCTTGCTGTATTTAGCTCTAGGCGGCGATAATCTCGAGGAGGCATTTTACATATTCACGGAAATGGCAGAGAAGAATACCAAAACTCCACTTTTGTCCGTTGGTCTCGCTAGTGTTCTAATCGCTCAAGGTGAGAGGAAAGACCCACACCGGCTTTGATGACGGTTGCCTTCCGAATCCGATGAATTGACAGAGTCTCGGAGAATCACGAACAAATCGACTCCACAGGAAAATTCGAAGAAGCTGACTCTGTCCTGGCTGAATCATTGGAGAAGGATCCGAATCATCTCGAGACGGTCATCAATCAAGTTGTCGTTTCTCAGTTCCTCGGAAAGAGCTCCGAGGCAAGGAATATTCCCGGCTTTCGTGAGCATAGGATTGAGTATCAGTTTTCTCCGAGGGGGTATAATCGCTGTTCCTGTTGCAGGTTTGCACCAGACTCCTGTCGCAGCTGAAAAACTCCAATCAGAGTCATCCTTTCATCCTCGATCACCAATTGAAGGAGCAACTATTCCAAACATTATGTCGGTCATTTGCGAATTGAAGATCTCGCTTCGTGTGTTTCTCAGCGCGTCTGAATGAATGTCGCCTCAAGTCTTAGAATCGTCTCCACTCTTGAATCCCTGGTCCGTGAGGATCTAGACAGATCATATTCCGTATATTCCTCATTGAAGTGGAAGAGGAGCGAAGCCACACATCGGTATCTTGTAGAGCTCATTGGGCTCGATGAATCTACTGAGGCCTGATTCGTCATCGGACTGACCTGAGCCTACGTATGGATGAGTCCAGATGCATTCTGAGGCCCTGCGCGTGAGTCTCTCCCCTAGACTCTTTCATCGGATTTTCTAGAGACTTCAGCAAACGTCCTAGTAGCCGTAGAGAGGACTCGGGTATACCTCTTGTTTTCTATACGCCCCATGCAGATGAAGAAATTGGCACCACAGTCAGTGGCGTATTTAGGGGGGCCCAAGGGGGCTGTAGCCCCCTCCAAGATCTGTTCTCCACAATGGTAAAGCATAGGAAAGGACGCCATCTTGGAGTCTTATCTCCACCCAAGATCCAATCTAGCCCCCTCAAGAAAAAATCCTGCATACGCCCCTGACCACAGTGTCTCAATGTATTGATCAGAAATGTTCTGAGTTGAGGGTTCCTCATGGGCGGGTCCCATCTTCGACCTATATCGAATAAGTCGAGGGATAGCACCCAATTTATAACGGAAGGACGTTGAATCGTCGAAAATGAAATGTACAAGGTCAACGCTGGATGGATAGGTAAAGCTTAGGTTGCCGTCGGTGGATCATCGAGACAGTGACACACGATCTCGATGGGATTCCCCAGGGATGAATCCAGGGGCGAAAATTTGAACTCATATGTACAGTTATCGTAATCAGCAGTAGTCAGTAGTTATCCGGATTCTGTGCAGCATTGTTCCGTCTCGAAGACTCGTCGGATACCTGCTGCTTCGAGGAGAGCTGCTGACTAGCGATTTCTGCGAGAGCTTTTTGCACTTGTGCCAGCAGACATTCCCCTCGCATGACGACTTCTTGCAAGCGATTGGCGGACTCATTATTCTCGATTTCCAGCTTTTGGAGGTTGTTAGCCTGAAATAGATTGGGTACAACATTTCGGGATCGAAGAGGTCTCGCCTTTCTGATTCAGGGATTCTAGACTCAAACTTTCTAGATTCAGATTTCTAGACTCAAACTCTTCTAAATTCAGGGATTCTAGACTCAAACGCGGGCACAGGAAGTCTCGATATTCGAGACACAAAAGTATGATTTTCCGAACTCTTCGACTCACCTGCAATTCAGGGGCAGCTTCCTCACCTGGGAGAGATTCTATCAAAACGTCCATATCTTTGGCAGTCCGGGCGATCATGGTTGCGAAGAGTTGCGCGTAATCTGAAGAAGAACGAGACGATTATATCACTTCTGGCAGGCTGGTTGTGGCAGGCAGGTTTTCTGCTTTGACGCCCCCATATCCTGAAGGGGCTTACCTTTTGTGGTTGGGACGTCGGCTTGCCCGTTTTTTCGAACTCTGGGAACGTGGATGGCTGAGCGAGTTGTTGGAGGATTCCAGTACTGTTGCAGAAATTCTCAGCTTGCTGTGATCAGGAATTCGGGCTTAGACGATCCCAAGCGCCTCGTTCTCGAAAAGATGTACTAGGCTCGGTCAAATATTCACAGTCGCGAAGGGTCTTTAAGTGTAAGTTCTCTCACTCTGCTTGTATTCGGAATTCCCGAATGGAAATGCTCATCAGGTTGACGGAGTCCTGGAGCTATGTCAAGCGGTCGGCCATCTCTCAGAAGAGCAAGTTCGGGGACCGTCCGAGAGAAAATTGGAGGCCGCGGATGTTTTTCCAGTCGATAGCAGAACCGGAGAGTCAAGCTGTCATCGAGAGGAGATTCCTCGCCAATGATTCTTCTGTCAAGTGCGCAAATCCCGTGTTCGAGACCTGCCGATGCCTGCCGGCTGCCATTTCTCCAAAAGCAGACGGCGCTGTAGTCAGCTCTGCACGGCGCTTAGCTCGTCAGCTTTGCGCTGCGGTCAGCCGACCGCGGCTTCAAGACTCCGAGAACCATCGAGATGAGAAACCCGAATATCATCGGACTTCTATCCACAGCACAGAGCTCTCATTCACGAAAGTACAGTTCAAGAATTCTCGGAATGAGAGAGCCGAAAATATTCGGACTTCTGTCTTCAGAACATGGAGCTCTCGAAAGGGAATACTCCGGGAACAGTACAGGTCATTTGGGCAAAAAGTCAAATGGGCGGATTGCTATTTGAGCGGATTGCCATTTGGGTAGAAAGCCAAATGGGCGAAAAACCATACGGGCTCAGTTTCCTGGTCGTAGGATTACTTCTTCACTCACATATACCTACCTCTCGAGGAGGATGAGCCGCACGTAAGCACGGTCAGCGGAAATGAGAGGAAGTTGGATGCTGAAGTTCAGCCTGACTTGGGAAGCTGCCCAACATCCTGAATAACGTCCCCGTGCTGAGACAAGCTGAAGGCACCTATGTCCCATGCTGCGAGTTTCGGATCGACAGACGCTTCATCCTCCGAGCGGGGTGCTCGAGATTCCATCTTTGTCGCGATTCTCCGCAGCTTCACCGCGATTCCGCCACGATTTCAGCGATTTTCTTCCGCGATAAATTTACAGCCCCAATCATAATCTCTGAGAACTCTCAGGTGTCGATCTCGTGCTTGGAGACCAGAGAGAGGAACAGTAGCGATCAGACGTATTCTCAAACATAGAATTTATCCAATCTTCCTACGTGACGCTATGGGCCGAGCTTTTCGCACCCTTATCAACTTTGGGAGCAGGTACTCGTTCGAGCTGAAAACTATGTCGGAGTTGAGCCTTGACATGAATCTTCTGGCCACGGATTTGTGGGTCGGTATCTCTACGTGGGCCGGGGTGAGAGTTCTCTTGGAAAAGCGTCGAATGTATCTTTAAAAATGATTTGGATCACTTTTGTATCTCTATCATGAAGTCCGAGAGCGGATCGTGTCGGGTTGGTCCGCGGACAAAGCATGGCACGTCGTGACCAAGCGATACGCATTCGGGTGCTCCACGTCGTACTACTGTTGACGAAAATTCGACTCCTCGTCTGGAGCTGCGGCTCATCGGTCGGAGCTCAGACTCACAATACCATTCAACTCTGAGATTCTCCTCCCTCCTTTGAAGACCTCCCCAAACCCTATCTTCTGTCTTCCCAGGTCTGACAGGATTCGCTCGACCGCAATCACCGTCGACGGAAGATACGTCCGAACGTCCACCGCCTACACTACGTACGAATGCGAGTCAGGGAGCTCAGAACGATTTCTCCTTCGATTCGGCGATTCGGGCATCGAGGACGAGGACCGCATCTTGGTTTTCGGCCGAGAAACAGCGTCTAGCTGGGTTGGCTATGTGCAGATACTCTACGTGGACGGGACTTTTAGTTTAGCCCCGGATCAATTCGCGCAGGTTTTCGTCATTTTGGCTGACCGTGGAGGGTATGCAATTCCGCTCTGCTACGCCCTCCTTCCAAACAAATCGGAAAACTCGTACCGCCGCATGATCGGTCTCGTCATAGGAGCCTTCTCGTCGCTGGACCCAGCTTCGATCACCATGGATTTCGAGATGGCTGTCATCAACGCTTTCATCGCGGCTTTCCCGAATGCCGAAATTCACGGTTGCTTATTCCATTTGGTAAAAAGTGTGAAGAAAAAGCTATCGTCCTTGAATCTCCTGAAACGCTACAATGCAGATTCGAATTTCTCGCTCTGGTCTCGGATGATTCCGGCGATGGCCTTCGTGAGAGAAGATCTCCTTGACAGATCAATGATGGCTCTTCTGGAAGTCTTACCAGAAGAGTTGAAACCCGTCTACACCTACTTCGTAGCTTACGTATGTGGTCGCATACTCAGCGTTCGCCTAGATGGGTCAGTCATCAGGGACAATCCGCTCTTCAGCTCCGATGTGTGGTCGGTCCATGAAAAGACTCTCAACGGTGAGAGCCGCACCAACAACTTCGCTGAAGCTGCTCATCGAAAACTCCAGGAGGCTTTCGGCGTCTGTCATCCTTCCGTCTGGAAGTTCATCGATGGTCTCCGGCATGTGCAGCACAAGGCAGACGCCGAGCTCGAGCGATACATTATAGGATCTGCGCCGGCTCCAAAAAGACGCAGATATCTGAATGCGGACGCCAATTTGCTCGAGTTGGTCCGTACCATCGAGAATCGAGAGCCGGTGGCCTTTCTGCGAGGGATCGCAAACAATTTCCTCATGGACAACTAGAAAAATCTTAGAATCCCCATCTATCATTTCCTTCCCTGTGAAAAATACATGATAAGATAAACTGATCCTCACGGGAGTCTCACTGGAAACCATCCTCCCTTCTAACCAGTTCTCTATCGGTTTGAGAACCTTCCTTGCTTGTGAGAAACATGATAAAATTACGTGAGATGACTTGACCTGGGATCCCTGTGTTTTCCTTTCTCCTTGATTATCGCCGAATCATCCTGTGCGCCGAATCGTCTCGCGCCGAATCGTCATGTACCGTTCTTCACATTGACGATCCGTTAAGAGCCTGAAAATCACCATGCCCGCCGATCCGTTGTTCGATGTTTCTCTTTTTACATTGGTAATTACCAGTCATGCATAAATGAAGCTCAGAGAATGACACCGGACAGCGTCGAGCAGAAGGAATACCTGGACGTCTTCCTTTATCGCTCGTATATCGCACTGAAGAAATACGATCTCGTCATCGGGGAGCTCGACAGGTGAGTAAGAAGCAGACAGCTGGCCTGGTGGAATCGGATACACCTCGAATAATTCTCTGCGTGCACCGTTTCGTCTCCATCAGGAGGAGCGTGTTCGTTTGAATATCTTCCTGATAGATGGCTTTTCCAGTTATTCCGGTCCGGATGAAGTCAAGAGCCTTCGGTTCCTCGCAGAATACTCGTGCGCTGAAGCGAACGCGCGTCAAGATGTTTTACGGAAGTTGGAGAAACAGCTAGGATCCTTCTCGCCCGGGAATACAACGCTGCCTCTCGTAGCGGTGACAATATACCTCCATGAAAACGACATCGATAGCGCCCTGAAGGTTTGAGAGGCTGACAGCGAGAGGAGCTGCCTCCGGTTTGAACTTCTCGTGGTTTTCCGAGGCTATTGGTAGATGATCAGCTGGATTTTCCTCGAGAATGACAGAATATCCACTACACAGGTCTTGTATAACTGTAACATCTTGGAGGCGATGGCGCTTTCGCTCCGATGCCACATTCACTCTGATCGACTGGATCTAGCCACGAATGAAATGGAGAGGTGAGAAGCTACACAATCTTTCGCTTTTATGCTGAAAATACTTGTTTCCGTGGCTGGCATCGCAGAGCTTCGCGGAGAGAATGAGAGCTCACTTCGTACATCCTGATCCAATTTTATCTCTACTAGAGAATGGTGGCGAAGGACGAAGATGCATCACTGACCCAGTTGTGCTCGGGCTGGCTGTATTTAGCTTTAGGCGGCGATAAACTCGAGAAGGCATTTTACGTATTCACGGAAATGGTAGAGAAGAATACCAAAACTCCACTTTTGTCCGTTGGTCTCGCTAGTGTTCTAATCGCTCAAGGTAAGAGGAAAGGCCCACACCGGCTCTGATGACGGTTGCCCTCCGAATCCGATGAATTTACAGAGTCTCGGGGCATCACGGACAAATCGACTCCAGGGGAAAATTCGAACGATGCTATGAGGAGACAAATAGATCCCTTCGGATTCCGACTCGGTAGGAGATTCTTGATCATCGAGATTCCAGCGTGTCAGCCGAAATCTTCCGTCATCCATGGTGGATCATGGATCACGGAAGCGCGATTTCCCGATATCCATAGATAGAACAAGAAGAGGCTCACCTGGAAAGCGCCTCTGCAGCAGGTCGGGCAGGGTTTTTTCAGCGGTGAGTTTGAGCCGTGGGCCACTCTCCCTTATACCAGTCGATTGTATTTCCGATGACGGTCGATAATATCTTCGAGCACATCCGTTGGCGCGGACCGGTCAGATGCCCCCGTGGATAGCCTGGAAGTCCTAGCATCCTCCAGGACGATTCACGAATAGAGCCTTCGTGTGAGATCTTTTCGTTTTCTCCAAGACGCCATTCTGGCGACTTGAGAATCATGTTCATGGAACTTGAACCTCCAAACATCTGTCCATGCCCGTCGTCAGGAGCATCTCGTGTATTCTGACCAAGCTCCAGGTCACTATGTATTGCGAAGCTTCTGATGGACGGCATTGAGTGCGAAGTGGAGGCAAGCAGAGTTAAGAAGTCGGGCCCGATACGGAAGATGAGGTCACGGATCTGCTTTTGGAAGACGGAATATTCATAAGCGAATACATAATTGCTGATTTGATCAGATCATTCTGCAGAAGCTCCTCAGAGCGAGTTCGAGCCTATCCAGATATTTTCTTTGTTTACTTGGCATTCGTGCCTTGTCGCTTGAGAGAAGCTTCAATTAAAAAAAACGGGCAAGTAGTGTCGTGGACACTACTTTCTTCGTGAAAACGTCTCGAATATACTCTTCGGAGAACAACCCTCAGATAGAACAAAGAAATCGATAGTTCGATACGCTTCTTCAACGGTCAATACCAATACGATCTCTCTCCTATGATATTTCCTCCTTCGTGTCAGGTATCAATTAGAGAAGCCCATGGAATTTACGAATCTGAAATCTGCAGGAGTCGGTAAGCGATCGTCTAAAAATCGTCAACAACGACCATCTCCGCACTCGACTTCACCAACCGATCTTTTCGTCGATAGAATATGTTAGAAGTGAGCGATAGTGCGGACATGGAAGGGAAAGGGCGGAAGATGCATCCTGGGAGCTGACCTCTATCCTTATTCCTAATCCTTCTACCCCTGTCGACGACTTCCATGGAGGGGGCTCACACACTCGGCAGATTACGCTCTGATTGACCCGAAAAACACGGCGCTGACTCGAAACATTCCATCTCTGCTCTTCAGATCGTCTATTCATACGAGTTTCCTGAGCTTTTCGGGGGTATGCAAGAATCGGTGCGGGAGACTCAGCTAGCCCTTGAGGTTCCACTCCGAAATCCAGTCGACAAAGCTCCCGTAAACTTCCATTATTTTGACCCCCTGCCGTACGAGGTGTGTCGCGTTTCACCGGAGTTCTACCGCCGCATAGTGTTACAAGATTTGCTTGCATGAAGGACGAAGTTTATTCGTCTGGTCACTCGAGTGATTTTAAAGACGTTTTCACGTCAATGTCCCATCAGCATGGGCCCTCTGAGTCCTTCATATGGATGGAGTAATTGAGGAGAGCTCGGAAGGATCAAAATCATGCTGTTGGGTTCTCTCTTCATTCTATTGCAACAAGAAGAGAATGTCTCTTTCTCGGAAACTTCAGCTTTCACCCAGGCAGTTCCCCCGTGGCGATTTTGCGAATCCTCGCACTTCGTAGCCTCAGTCAGAATTGTTCTTGGTCCCGAAGATCCTAGAGTTTCGCAAGTCGAGGGAGAATTGCATTGCAGGCCCCGCCGACTTCGTAGAAACTTCTCATGTGTCCGTCGGTGTCGAGCGAACTCTCGAAGAACGGCGGCCACCGGTTGCTTTCAGTGAAAGTTACGCGATTCCTAGGCCATGACTTCTTGGGCGATATACTGGCGACCGATTCTCAAGCGGAACGTTTTCAGGCGTCAACCTTCATCTTCTTGGTGGGTATCTTACCCTCCGATTTTTCCTCGGTTTTCCGGATGAGTTCAACGGACATCATTCAGTCAGTCCGGCGGTCCAAGTCTTGAGCGGGCTCAGCAGACGTTTCCGCCACGGCACTGATCGATGTGCAACTCAGAATTGAGTTTCCAATCCTTCCGATTTTCCGAGCCTCCCTCTGTCCGACAAACTGCAGCATAGAGAAAGCTCATACCATATTCTCTGCATGGATTGTTTTCTTTGCTTTTTTTTGACGGCTCCCTCTTACAGCGCCGTAGTCTGGCGGAATGGCCCGCCTTTCGTGATCTGTTATGATGGGCACGATGAACTCGATTTCCCTAACTCTGCTTCAGAACCCCGAGGACAGAGGTGAATCGTTTTGCCGCTTGTCGACTGCTGTTGTGCCAGCTTATTAGAAGGGATCCCGAACTCGGCTCGGAGGTGGACCAATAAAGCTGTGCTCGTGGAAGACCTCCGCGTCACAAGCGACGGATTGGACTGGCAACATCCGACTGACCTCCCGAGGGAAAATATGAATATCGAACGCCATGAATCGTCGAACGCCGATTCCGGGCCCGGAGACATCTAGGATGTACATACAATTGATGAATCTATAAATCGTCAACTGGCAATCCCTACCGCGCTTCGCCACCGATCATTCGCGCTTTCGAATGCCGTTTTCCAAGCGCGCCTATTCGCTCTCGATTGCTTCGCAAGGGCCATTGATCGTGTTTCCCGCAACAGCTTCTAACAATCCCGCATATGTGGGCATCGAGATCTGGTACCACCTTTGAGACGACCGCATCTACTTAATGATAGATAATTCTGTAGAGAATGATAATTTATCAGACCAAAGTGTGTTTGAGTGCGGTTAGACTCTTTGGTGCCATCCGATTGAGCCCGACCAACAACGCGGCTCTCCGAAGACATGGTGTTTGAAACAAAGCCCGGACTGAATGGGGTATTCGATCCACTCGCAGCCTCAAGATTCGCTGCTCCTTGACATCACTCAAACGAGCTGAAGTCTGCGGCGTGCTCTGTCGCTCCCTGTCAATAGTCCTCTGATCCCAAGTCCCTACGTCTCCAGGGCTAATTATGATTTTTTTTTAACAACATCCCTCTTTATTTAGACAATGTTTCGTGTCGTACATCAATTTAACAATACATCAGTTCCACGAGGGCGAACCCTGTCCGTGGTATCGGGAGGAGACATGTTTGCGTTCGGGGGGATGGGGTTCCGGGGGAGAAACTTTCATTCTATGAATTGATTCAAGGGAGCAGGGCATTTATTTTATCAATGGTAATAGAGCTCAGGAAACGTCTAATATTTCTCTTCCTTTCTGAGATTCGGAAAAGATACCAGTTCCTGAGATTTTCAGGGAGAGAGTTATATACTGTGAGGTACTGCCATTTATAGGTTCGCCTAGTTCTCTCGAGCCGGAAGGCAGGCAGGCGGACGAGTTTTGACTGCACGCCTCTGGTGGCGTGTTGGTGATTGACCGTGTTCTCATCTTCCAGCATGTTTGCTGTCTGAGGTTGTTGTATGTGTAGGTACGTCAAGAGCACAGACAGGTAC